CGGCGCGGGCGCGACGGCCAGCAGCGGCGAACGCGCGTGGACATGCTTCCCGTGCGTTGGGGCGGCTGCCGACCTCGCCTTATGGCCACTGCGGTGGGCCGGGGCGCGCGAGGCCTGCTCCTCGCGTGGCACAAGAGGGGCGGCAGTCCTCCTCGCCAAGGCGCCGCATGGGGCTGGCGCCGCTCTTCGCGATGGCGGTGACGCTGGAGGTCAGGCTCGCGCGAGAGAAGGGCGGGCAGTGGCAGCTGGCCCCGGCGCTGCTCAGCGAGATGGAAACGAGTCTGGCGCCGAGCCTCAGGCGCGACAACGGCAGGTTGTGGCAGCTGGCCCTGGCGCTGCTCAGCACAATGGTGGGCGCGAAGTTGGAGAGCAGGCTCGCGCGCGAGAGGGGCGGGCAGTGGCAGCCGACCCTGGCGCTTCCAGCGAGATGGCGGCGATGATGGAGCCCAACCTCGTGTGCGAGAAGGGCGGGCGGTGGCAGCTGGCCCAGGCGCTGCTCAGCGAATTGCTGGTGGCGACGGTGGGGGTCAGGCTCAGGTTCGAGAAGGGCGGGCAGTGGCAGCGGGCCCTGGCGCGGCTCAGCCAGATGGCGGCGACGCTGGAGACCAACCTCATGCGCGAGAGGGGCGGGCAGGGTCAGCCGGCCTCGGCTATGCTCAGCGAGACGGTGGCGATGCTGGGGGCCAGCCTCAGGTGCGAGAAGGGCGGGCAGTGGCAGCCGATCCTGGCGTTGCTCAGCGAGATGGTGGCTGCGACAGTGGAGGGCAGGCTCGCGTTCGAGAAGGGCGGGCAGTGACAACCGGCCCTGGCGCTGCTCAGCGAGATGGTGGCGACGCTGGGGGTCAGGCTTACGCGCGAGAAGGGCGGGCAGTGGCGGCCAGCCCTGGCGCTGCCCACCGAGACGGTTAGTGTGGCTGTGGAGGTCAGGCTCACGTTCGAGATCGGCGGTCGGTGGCAGCCGGCCTAGGCGTTGCTCACCGAGATGACGGCGGCGACGCTGGAGACCAACCTCACGCGCGAGAACGGCGGGCAGCGGCAGCCGGCCCTGGCGCTGCACACCGAGGTGGTGGCGATATTGGGGCTCGACCTGGCGCGCAGGAAGGGCGGGCAGTGGCAGCCGGCCCTGGCGCTGCTCAGCGAGATGGTGGCTGCGACGCTGGAGCCCAACCACAAGCGTGAGAAGGGCGGGCAGTGGCAACAGCACTGGCGCTGCTCAGCGAGGCGGTTGAGATGCCCGGAGACCAACCTCATGTGCGAGAGCGGCGGGCAGCGGCAGCCAGCCCTGGCGCTGCTCAGCTAAATTGCGGCGACGGTGTAGCCCAACCCTACGCGCGAGAAGGGCGGGCAGTGGCAGCCGGCCCTGGCGCTGCTCACCGAAATGGTGGTTGCGACGATGGCGGACAGGCTCACGTTCGAGAAGGGCGGGCAGTGGCCGCTGGCCCTGGCGCTGCACGCCGAGATGGTGGCGATGCTGGAGACCAACCTCATGCGCGAGAGGGGCGGGCAGTGGCAGCCTGCCCTGGCGATGCTCAGCGAGATGGTGGCGACGTCGAAGGGCAGGCTCGCGCTCGAGAAGGGCGGGCATCGACAGCCGGCCCTGGCGCTGCTTAGCGGGTTGGCGGGGACGCTGGAGATCAACCTCATGCGCGAGAAGTGCGGGCAGTGGAAGCCCGCACTGGCGCTGCTCAGCGAGACGGTGGCGACTGTGGAAGTCAGGCTCACGTTCGGGAAGGACGGGCAGTGGCAGCCAGCCCTGGCGCTGCCCAGCGAGATGGCGGCGACGCTGGAGACCAACCTGCTGCGCGAGAATGGCGAGCAGTGGCAGCCGGCCCTTGCGTTGCTCAGCGGGATGGCGGCGGCGACGGCGGGGGTCAGGCTTACGCGCGAGAAGGGCGGGCAGTGGCAGACGGCCGTCGCGCTGCGCAGCGAGATGGTGGCGCTGCTGAGCGAGATGCTGATCGCGAAGCAGGGGCCTGCAATGATCACCCACGGCGCTGTGGACAGCGCGTGCGAGAAGAGCAGGCGCTGGCAGCGGCAGCCGGCCCTGGCGCTGCTGAGCGAGATGGCAGACGTGCAGCTGGAGCCCAACATCATCACCTGCAGCGCCCTGAACAGCGCCTGCGACAGGAGCAGGCGTCGGCAGTGGCAGCATGCAACGGCGCTGCTGAGCGAGATGGCAGAAGGGTAGCTGGAGCCCAACATTCTCATCGCCTAGGGCACTCTGAACAGCGCGTGGGAGAAGAGCAGGCGTTCGCAGCGGCAGCTGTCCTCGGGGCAGTGGAAGGGAGTGCAGTGGCGGCGGCAGCAGCAGGAGGGAAGGAGGAGGGGGCCGCGGCAGCATCGGCGGTGTGGACCAGGCGGCCCCTCCTGACGACGACTTGTAAGGGGCCTTGGGGTGTGCGCGGGGGAAGTGGTCTCCATCGCGCTGACCTTGTGGGCCATATGGGACCCCTCTGTGCCAAGCGGGGCCCAATGGGTCGGCTGCCCCATTGTCCTCAACCGCCCCTTTGCTGCGCACAGGCGCGCAACTGGTGAGGAATAAAGAGTGCACGGACGGCTGTCCCCCACGGGCCACCGCTCCCGTGGGTGGCCCCTTCGCGACGGGGACTAGTTTCACCGCGGTGACAGGCCGAGGCCTTAATATTCCTGTGCCAACTCTTGGGGCCGAGGTGCACCTATACCACCACGCTGCGTTTAGACTCCCACGCTTGTTCGTGGGCTTCAGAGTCCGTGAGGGGCCGGCTGGAATAATGCACTCCCACGGTTCCCTTTGGCCTTGTTCTCACTGGACAATGGTCCGTCTTTGTCCGATTGGGCACTCACTTTGGATGACTGGGACTGCAGGCCAAAGGCCCACCCCAGGTGCTCCACCCGTCGTACCGCACTCTTCCACACCCTACCTACGGCGGCCCCGGTCAGGCGGAGTCGCCCCCCCCCCCCCACCCCCACCTGGCGGGCACTTTCCCCCCTCAAGCGCAGCACGCTTGCAACGCTGTGTTGGGTCCCTTGCGGTCACTGTCGCTTGCAACGCTGTGTTGGGCCCCTTGCGGTCAGATTTGCGGCTATCGGCTGCGCTTCCCCCCCCCTTCCTCCACGCACGCAGATGTGGTGTGCCGCGCCACTCGGCTTCCCCCTATCGTGGCAACGTACACGTGCACGCTCCGAGGTGGTCACACCTATCCCCGCGGCGCGATGCGATCACCCGCTGGCTGCGGCGGGTGGGCCTGAGGAGGCTGGGTTCCTGTGCAAGTGGTCCGTCCTTTGTCAGGTCTGAGCCCTCACATGGCTGGCCCGACCCTCTGGCCCCCGGCTTCGCTTGCGACATCGCCCCCTTCCTCTGGACGGACTTGTTGCTCGCGCACGCATCGCGCCAACGCCCCTTTCCACGGTGAACGGCGCACGCGGTTCACGACAGCCCAGCGGTTCTCCCACGGGCAGGTCCGCAGGCCTCCCGCCGGGTGGTTCCGCCGCGGCACCTCGCAGCGTTCCCCCCATCCATTGTGGCAAGGAAGGTGCAAGCTGGGACTCTGACGACTAAGGCTGCCGACGCCCGGCATTCGTTGACGCACCAGGCTTCGAGCACGTGAGGTGTTCTGTGAGTGGGGCCTTGCTTTCTCCCCCCCTCCCCTCGTCGCCTCCTGCGCCTGTCCCCCCATTCTGCTCCTCCTCGCCGCGTTTGGCGGTGCCTCTCCTGGGGCTCTGCGCTGCCCGCGCAGTGTTCCCGCCATCGCGCAGGCTTGGTCTGTGGGGGCTGGCGCCACAGTGCGTCCCTCCGCCGGCTTTTCCAGTCTGCTGCCGTCTTCCGTTCCCGGGTCGGTTCTAATGAGTTTCATTTTGTCCCTCGCACGTGCATTGCGGCGTTGGCCTATGTGCCTTCGTTGCCAATCGTCTCGCTTTGCGCCCCTGTCAAGATTGACCCGCTCTCTGGAGTCGTCCTTTGAGCCACAGATCAAAAAAAGTGTGTGTGTGTGTGTGTGTCTTTGTGTGTGCGTGTGTCTTTGTGTGTGTGTGTGTCTTTGTGTGTGGCCCATGGCCCCTTCAGACTTGAAAAAGGCCCGGAGGCTCAATGGGGGTTCGCGGAGATCATGGCATTGTAATTTCTTCGCAACGGGCACCTTCGCACGCTTTCGGGCCACGGGACCCGCACATCCATCCGGCTCGAAGGACGGCGCAGAAGAGTGCTGGGGACCGGGGCTCCGGTCGTGATTTTTTCGCGATGTGCCAATTTCTCCGGAGCGTCGGATCTCGGGGCTGCCCGCGGTCCCCAGCTGCCCACGCATCTCGCCGACGGGGGCTCGTTGGCCCACCCCGCCTAATGCAGCGCGCGGCTGCGCCATCGGGCCCTCGGGAGGGCGTGCCGCCGCTGGATCGCCGACTGTCTCCAGAACGAGGCCCTGGCCCCCCTCTCCATGCGGCGTGTCCCCTCGGAAGGCTGAGGAGGGAGGGGGGGATGATGAATTTGAGGGAGGGCGGCCTCCATGCGTGTCCCCTTCGGAAGACTGATGGGGGAGGGGGGATGATGAGGGGAGGAAGGACGGCCTCCAGCGCTCCCCCTTCGTAAAACTGATGGGGGAGGGGGGGGGGGATGAGGGGAGGAAGGACGGCCCGAAGAGGAGGAGGGTGTGGGAGGACGAGATTGCGGGCCCCACGAGTATGCACCACCACCAGCTCCGTTCCCCCTCCCTCCTCTGCCGTCCTCCTCCCCTCCTCCTCCCTGGGAGAAGGATGGGGTCAGGGAGCGGTGATGATGTAAGTGTTTTGGCTCCCGTAGGTCAGGAGGGAAAGAAACACACAGGCACAATGAATCGCCGATTCCTTAGAAAGTATGGGAAATATGGGAAGTGGGGGGAAGACGAAAACCCTCAAACTAATCATGGAAACAATGGGGAATCATGTTATCTGTGTGTATTTGTCTGCGTGTCCCTGGGCCCGTTCAGTGGATGTCCCCCCTCCCCCCCTGAGCCGGAGCCCACCGCCTCCTCTCGTGGACCCTCGGAGAGGCCATCGGCGCTCGCCTGCTGGAGGGCCTCGGCGGGCTGACGGCGGCTGGCAGGGCCTCCGTGGGGGCCGCTAGCGTCTGGAGGTCGGCGGCCCGGGGCGAGGCCTCTCCGCGGATCGGCTGCTCGCGGCGAGGCCTCGTCTGGATGTCGTTGCGCCATCTTGCGCAAGACCCGCTTTTGATCGTCGATCCGGTTCCTCAAGTGATGTAAGTTTCTGGGTCGCGTTTCCGGCTGTGACCTCTGGGGGCGTCTGGGCGACGGTCGCGGCGGCGGCCCGCAGCGTGGTCGGAGGTGCGCCCCCGCCGCATCGCGATCGGCCCGGGCGCGCCCTGCGCTTGCGCCCGACGCTCGCTGGGGCGTCCCGTATCAAGCAGTGGCGAAGCGTCCTGGCTCGCTTGTAGCCCTACCAAACAATGTTCTAAGAACCTTTTTGTGGTTTCCACGAACTGTGCTTAGAACCTTTCTGGCTGATGTTGTTTTGTTTTGACACATCAGGCTGGTGTTCTAAGAACATGGTTTCTGTTCTTAGAAATTTGTTGGGTTCTAAGAACATTTCGTGGTAGGACTATAGGAATGCCGGGACGGTCGGTCCCTGCTCAATCGGAGGGATCGAGCAGCTTCCTTCCCCTCCCAGACAGGATCGCGTCGTATCAAAAATCAGGCCGGGAGGCTGTTGGCCATTTGCGGCCTCGGGGGGCCCTCGCCGGGCCTCGGGACCGTCAAAACACGACTCGGGATGAAGAACTGGTCGCGAGGAAAGCTGCCCTCCCCTTGATCCACGGTCGAACATGCATCGAAGAAGGAAACAACGCCATAAACATAAATTTCTGGCGCTCCGCGGGGATTTCTTGGATCCGCGCTGGGCCACCTTGGCGGCGCCTCCGCGCGCCAGGGAGGGGTGTCCAGCGCAGATCCAAGACATCCGCGCGGAGCGCCAAAAGTTTATGGTTATGTCGTTTTTTTTGTTGTTGTTTTACCCCCGTCTAATACAGTGGGAACGCGCATCAAGAAACCGAGGATTTCTGTCAGGGTAGCCTGGGGTTCTTCGCTCCGCGCGCTGTGAGAGGAGCTGCCGCCGTGGAGGCGTCCTTTCTTAGGGGGCTGTGCGCTCGGGAAAGGGGCTTCTGCGGGTTCGCGGGATTCGGTTCGTCTCCCTTTCGGGCCCCTCGTGCGTTTTGCTGGATTCGGCTCGCGCGCAGGCGCCCAGTTCCAAGGGTCGGGGTCTAGCGCTCCCACCCCCCGCACCCTTATGTTTTTTTCCGTGCCTGCTGCAATCCGCTTCCCTTCGGGGGGGTTGCGCCTGTCCAGTGCTCCTGGCGGCCATTCCTGGGTCGCCACGGACCTGGCCAGGCCGGCCTGCAGCTCCATGAGGCACCCCACACGAGGCATATGTTGCCAGCGCAGGAGACACCGCCTTGGACTTGGAGGCAAAAACAGTTCCTTGCCGATTCCTTCCCCCAGTCACGGGGCACCGAACAGGCAGAAGGGAGCCGCCGCGGCAGGGTGCTTCCGCGGTGACTCCCAGTGGCCGTGGAAGGAGCTGATGCGTTCATGGTGCTTTGGGTTCCCTGCGCTGGCATCTAGCGCATGTGGGTTGTCAGGACTGGGACTCTTGCGAGGGTTTCTTACGGCCGAGTCCTCGCTGTATGATCCAGAGTCCTCCTCCCAAAAAGTTGGGCCAACGTTTCTTGATCAACTTGCCAGGAAACCAGCCCAGTTTCTCCAGCACGCTCGCCCCTCCCGCGTGATCAGAAAAGTTGGCCCGGGCTTGTTTGACGAAAATTCTGGGAGGCTGGCCCCGGTGTTTGAACTCATGACTTTCTTGATCTGATGTTCGAATCTAGACCTCCCAGATGGGGTCCGAGTAGCTGGGGTCGGGGGATCGCGCTGCATCGCCGATGCATCGCCGACACGGCTCGATGTGGAGCCCGATTGCCGACGGCGCCGATGCATCGCCGGCGTGGCCTCTAAGTACTTGAGGTCCTGTCGCTGTATGCTCGTTTTTGCGCCGGGCGTTTTCGCCCAGTTTCTGGCCTCGGTGCCCTCACAAGGTCGATCCTGCTCGGGCAGCGCCGCAGGAAAATTTGGGTATGGGGTGCTGCTCGTGGTTTTCACCATGTTGCATTTGTCGCGGCGACGGAGCTCAGGTCTCTTCCTCGGCGGACGACCCGCGGAAGTAAGACGAGGGCCGGAGGAAGGCCAGGGGAAGGAAAGACCGCCCCCCTCCACATAAGAGATGATCTCATATTGTCCCACATCCTGAGCGGGCTCCTTGATTTTCCAGAACACCCTCGTGTTCCCTCCTTCCCTTCCCGTCCTTCCCTGCCTCCTTCTCCATCCCGACAGCGCGGGCTATGCGCAGACCGTGTCCTGATACCAGGATTCGTGCCCTTCCCCCTTCCCCCTCCACCTGCCGTGCCAGTACCGCTCGTTCCCCTCTAGGCAAGCAGCGTCGAACCACGCGGGCTACGCGCAAGCCGTGTTCTTCATCAGCGTCCGTGCCCTTTCCGTTCCAGCAGCCGTGCCAGGACCACGTGTTCCCCTCCAGGGTGGTCGCGTCTGACCGCACGGCTATACTCAAACCGTGTCACTTATCAGGGATCGTTCCGTTCCCACTCCACATGCCCCACGAACCGCGGCAGGCACTCGCAAAACAAAGTAAGCCGCGCGGGCTGTGAGCAAACCGTGCTGCTATGCGCAAGCCGTGTTATTCACCAGGCCCCGTGCTTTCTCCCCTTCCACCGTGCGCGCCAGTACCACGTTTGCCCCTCCAGGCAAGCCGCGTCGGACCGCGCGGGCTATGCGCAAACCGTTTCATGTCAGGATTCGCGCCCTTCTCGTTCCACCAGCCCCACCAGTACCACGATTCCCCCTTCCAGGGTGTCCAATAATGTCGGGCACCTTGGAGCGCTGCATGATGCGGCGCGCAGCCAGCCCTGCGAAGCCTGTCGCGATCCGCCTTCCACTTACCTTTGGCCCCATCGCTCTGTTTTTTGCTTCCTGCTGGATATTCCAGGCCTTCTTGCGCGGCTGCCTCGGGCCTCTCTTGGGCGAGGCAGCACCCGCCGGCCCCTTTCGCTGGAGTGACCTTTTTGGTGCTGGCCCACCGGGGTCCCCCGATCGCCGAACGCGATGCGATGGTAGCGCCCTGCGCGCTTGTGTTTGGCCCCCCCTCGCGCCCCCCAGAAGCCGCGCACCAAAGGTCACTCTTGCCTGGGGTCACTCTTGCGTCTAGTCGATCTTGGCGATGCAATTGCGGATGGGGATGCGGGAATCGGGTGACAGGTGCAATCCTCCACAGATCATGGGGCCCGTCCGCATGCAGCTCGACGCTGCCCCCCGCCGGCGCAGCGCGTGCCGAAGACGGAGGGCGCGGCGTCGAAGGCCCAGATCAGAGGAGCAAGATGTCATGATATTCGCCGGTCGTTGAAGGTAGGAGTTGCTGGCTTTCCTGATAGTCACAATCTACTGTAGGCGCCCTCCTACTTCAAGAGCCGCTCTGCTTTTGCTGTGGCTTGCTGTTCTCTGGGAGGGCCTGGGCCCAATCTACTACTTCGTGCTTTTACCTACTTCTTCAGACCGGCGTGTACGTTCCAGGTTTTCCAGGGCATCCAGAATTTCCTCCACATTTCCGATAACTCCACACTTGCTGCCAAAAAAGGAGGGCCGCCAGAGATGCCCTTCGAAGTCCTGGACCGCATCTGGAGCCAATCTGTCATGAGAATGATGCTATTCAGATATTCCAAGGCTGCCAGATTGTCCCCCACAATTCCGAACGCTCCACACGGGCTGCAAGAATGAGGGGCGCTAGAGATACCCTTGGAAGTCCTGGAGTGCATGCGGAGCCAATCTTATCATGACGTCTTTCTCGCCTTACGATCGTGCACGTGATTCAGAAACCTCCGCCCGAAACGTGGGGTCAGCGTTTCTCAGCCAACTTGCCGAGCAGCTGGCCCAGCCTCCTTGAGCTCCTTCGCCGTGCCAGCGTTCGCACGAACATTTGGCCCAGGTTTGTTCTAAGCAACTTCCGGAAAGCTGGCCCAGGTCGGAAACTGGAGCATATACATTACCAGTGGCGGGTGGTTTTTCAATCCCAGGACTTTTTTTAGGGTCGGGGACGACGTCGGGGTGGTGTGGTGTAAACTTGTTTCCCCGTTGTCCAGTGGAAACAACAAAAATTGTACACACCAGGATGTCGTATACACCATAATCCGTTTTCTTGTGCGAATCCCAGTGCGGGACCGGAAAAAATCATCGGTGCATCAAGTTCGGTTCCTTACCAGGTAATTTTTTTTTTGTTTTACAAAAAAAAAAAAAAAAAAAAACTGAGTTGTCTGCGCCGACATTGGCGCGTCAGTTGCCTCCGTAAGATCGCGCGTCAGCGCCTTCGTCTCCAATGCGGTGTGCCGGGATGGGTGCCCGCGTAAGCCACCGCGCAAGGTCGTCATGCCATCTCGCGCAAGACCCGTCTTTTGATCGCCGATCAGGTTTCTTAAGCGATCTAAGTTTCTGGGTCGCGCTTCCGGCTGTAACCTCTGGGGGCGTTTGGGCGACGGTCGCGGCGGCGGCCCGCAGCGTGGTCGGAGGCGCGCCCCCGCCGCATCGCGATCGGCCCCGGCGCGCCCTGCGCTTGCGCCCGACGCTCGCTGGGGTGTCCCGTAAGGGGGGGCGATACATGTCGGGGCGATACATGTCGGCCGTCATCTTTGCGGGTCCAGGTCCGTCGGTTTCGGTCCCAGGCCGTCTTCACTAAGGGGAGGTTTGCTAAAGGGAGGTTTGTCCACCGCCGACAATGGGTGGGCAGCGATGGCTGCAGAGAAGTGGCCCTTCAGGGCCCGCAAAGGGGGCCCTCTTGGGCCCAAGAAGGGGGGCCTTCTTTTGGGGCCCCAGAAGTGCCCCCCCCTCTCCCCCCATGTATCGCGCCCCCATCACGCGTTGCCCAAGACATCCTTCTCGCCCTCGCAGTCAAACCGCATGGCAAGGGCGGGCAACCTTCCCAAGGGCACCCTGGCATCCTTGCCCCTTCGGCCCATCGTTGGCCGCGCCCCGCTCGAAAAGCTGTGACGTGGGCGCCCAAGGCCCTTGCATCCTTATCGCGCGCCCTTTCTGATACGGGCCGACCGCAACCTCTGTGGGCGTCTGGGCCACGGTCGCGGCGGCGGCCCGCAGCGAGGCTGCAGGCGCGCCCCCGCCGCACCGCGATCGGCCCGGGGCGCGCCCTGCGCTTGCGCCCGACGCGCGCGCCTCCCGAGGTGGAGGCCGCGTTCGCCGCGGAGGGCGCGGGCCCGGCCTTCCCCTGCCGAGCAAGGCCCCTTGCGGGGCACCTCCGCGCCCCGCCGCCCTCTGCGCGCCGCCCCGCCGCCGCCCGCCAGAGAGCCAACGCACTGGAAGAAACAACGACGACGGCGACGACGACGACGACGACGACGACGACGACGACGACGACGACGACGACCACGACCACGACCACGACCACGACCACGACGACGACGACGACGACGACGACGACGACGACGACCACGACGACGACGACGACGACGACGACCACGACCACGACCACGACCACGACCACGACGGTGGCGGCGACGACGACGACGACGACGAACAGTCAAGGCGGGAGGTTTTCGCTGTTTTCGGCCTCTGGGGTTGGAGCCGGCTGGGGGTCTGAGGTGGCCCAGCATTGCGTCTGGCCAGCAAAAACGGGGGAGAAGTTCGAGGTTCTGGGTTGGAGTTTTTGCCTTTTCCTGCCTGTGGAGGCCGTTTTCGGGCCCCCGGACTGTCAAAAACGGATCCGGGGTGAAAAATTGCACCAGATGGACCCTGGGAGGGGTCTAGGGATCGATTTTGATTGTATTTGCCTTCGCCCCACCTCTTGACCGACTCTCTCGGGGCCCCACCAGCAGACCCCTGAGCCGCCTCCCACTGGCCCCAGAGCCGTCAAAAAATGCTTCACTCGGAGCTCAAAAGACGGAGGTCAGTGCAAGATCCTGCAGAGCCAGGGGTGCACTGACCTGGGCTGGGGTGCCGGACCCTGTAGGATCCTGCAGGATCTTTCAGGATCCTGCAGAGCCTGGCTGACCCAGGGTTGGATTGACCCGGGTCAGTAGGTCCCCGACTGACGATGAAAAGTGAGCCCTGTCGAAAAGATCGCAATTTCGGGGACCGCGTGCTAGAAAAGTCAGGGTGTCGGATCTCTGGATCTGACATAAGAGGAAGAATATGTGTTTAATAATGATGGTACAAAGAAAAGACTAAGAGCAACAATAATACGAATGAGAGGAAGCAGAAGAAGAGGACAACTAAGAGGAGTAATAATTAGGGGGAACAGAAGAAGAGGAATCATAATAAACAGAGGAATCATAGGAGGAACACAAAAAATGTCATTAACAAGATGAAGAAGAAGACCCGGCACAAAGCATACACTTCGGGTCTGCGCTGGGCCCCCCTGGCGGCGCATCTGGCGCCGTCCCTGGCGCGCTCCGCGCTCCAGGGAGGGGGTGAGCGCAAATCCGAGGAAGACGCGCGGACCACCGACAGTTTATGCTTGTGCAAGCTTGTTTTGGCCCTTCCCGCTAATGGTTCTGCTTGTGCTTATGCTTGCGAAGACCGTGTGTTGTGTTGTTGCCTTTCATGCTTATGATTGTGTGTATGCTTATGCTTATTTCTTTTTGGGGGCCCTGCCCGCTTACGCTTGTGCATTTTATGCCTGTGCTGATGATTATGCTTTCATTCCTCTTCTGGGCCCTGCCCGGCGCCCGTGCTGCTCCCACTGCGCGGGCCACCTGCCAGTTTGCTTGCCTGCGCTCTGTGTGGTGGCCTCGCCAGCGGGCGGTGCTGGTGTCTCGCCCGTACTGTTGTGCTTCCCGGCGTCGGGAGGCACAGGTCAGAAGCTTCGGTCGCCCAGAGATCAGCGGAGCAGGAGGGCATGATGAGTTGTAGGGCTCCTGGGGCCTGCGCGAGGCTCTCCGTCTCTGCGGCCCCGCCCTGCGCTTGGGAGAGTGGCATCCAGGGTGCTACGGTCAGCCCGCAGAGTGAGGATGAGCAGCTTGCCAAGGTTACCCTTGCGTCCTTCCTCGTCGGCCCACTTTTGGCCGCTTTCGCTGGCCGCGCCCCGCCCGCAAAGTGTCGACATGGCCTTCCAAGACCCTTACATCCTTATCGTGCGTCCGTATTATACGGGTTGGCTGTTTGTCGAATCTGTTCTTTCAACACCAGGTCGGATCCCAGTTCGCCCGATACTTGTTCGTCACGCGGAGGTCCATTGACAAGATGACAAACCTACGGGGGCGGGCCCCGAGAGCAGGCCCACCCCAAAAGCTTACAGACGTCAATGGTACGTTCAGAACTGCCAGTTTGGGCGACGCAGCAAAACGGGCTCGTCTGCGCCGATATTGGCGCGTAAGCTGCCCGCGTAAGCTCGCGCGCAGGCGCCCTCGTTCCCAATGTGGCCTGCCGCGCCGGCGGCCCGCGCAGGCCGCGGGGAGGGGGGGTACCGTAATGGTCTTCGCGCTTGCTGGAGGTGCTGGTGCATCCCGGGAGAGGGAAATCTTCGATTGATCTTCAGTTTGGCCTGCGGAGGGTCTCATGTTCTCGAAGGATGTCCTCCTTCGGGGACAACGATCGGGGGGGATAGGCATAAGGGGGGATGCATCGACCCCCTATCGCCCACTGATCGCCGATGGGGACCCGATAGCCCCCCCCCCGCCAAGGAAGGTGCGGATTCACTACCGGGGGCCGATCGCCGATCTATCGACGATGTATCGCCGATTCCAGGTCGATGCATCCCCCCCCATGCCTATCCCCCCCTGTCGTTGCCCCTCACTTCTGTCCTAGGTCCGGCTGTGCCCTGAGCCGGTCGCATCATGACACCACTCCTGTCCTCAGGGAGGCGTGGGCGCCCGTCACGAGTCGCGAGTCGCGGATCCGAGAGCTGCCCTTCTCCTTGGGGGCGGCGCGAGAGCCCACGTCTATGTCTCGAGCAGTGGATCGACTACAGACTTGAGTTACCCCAGCAATGCGTGTCCGTCGAATCTACGAGCGAAGGCCTAGAGTGCTACATGTACGGAGCAGCCTACGTACATTTCGTAGACTCGACGAAGAAGTCAAATTCGCGGTATGTCAATCCTGTAGGCGATCCCCTGCTCGACTGTCGCCCCCTGGGGGGCGCGAAGGTCATCGTGCGACGCGCGTCGCAGCCTGGGCCGGACGGCTGCCCTGCTCCGGGCTCGGCATCGCCAGGACGTGTGCGCTCCAGTTTTCTCGGCAGGGGCCGTCAAAGAGCATCCTTCACCGAGCGCGCTCCATTACTTTCAAAGTGCCTACTCGCAAGCGTCCGAAACAAACCATGTCTGCTTCGATGTAATTTATCGTAGATCCCCCGCGGCGGACCCAGGCCACTTGCGAGTAGTTATTCTGCGAGTAGTGGAACGCGCTCGTCTAATCCTGTGCCATTCCGAGAAAGACAAACAATAAAACGCGCGCGAAGCCGACAAGAAAGCGGGGGGCTTCGGCGTCCGAGCGCTGGCGAGCCGGGCGGCCTCGCGAGGGCGGCCTCAGCAGCCGAAGTCTGCCCGAAGCCTCCCGTCTGGACTTTTGCTCACGGCGCCCAGGGTGGTCTGGGGGATGCCCTCCCCCCCCAGGGCTCATTTCGATCCGATCAATGCGAGTGGACGAGGAGGAGGCGGAGGAGGAGGGGGAGGAGGAGGAGGAGGAGGAGGGGGAGGAGGAGGAGGAGGAGGAGGAGGAGGAGGAGGAGGAGGAGGAGGAGGAGAAGGAGGAGCAGGAGGAGGAGGAGGGGCCCGAGTTGGTTCGATTCCAATGTTTGTGGCGTTCTGGTGCGTCCCGATTTCTGCATGGCGCCGCTGTGGATCCTGGCCTACTCGATGCGGTTGGGTTCCGACTCCGCGCCGATGCGGTCCGATTCGATAAACGTTCCGATCCGATCCGATTTCCCGATGCGATATACATATATGAGCGAGAGAGAGAGAGAGAGAGAGAGAGAGTGAGAGAGAGAGAGACATGGAGAGAGAGAAAGAGAGAGAGAGAGAGAGAAATATAGAGAGAGGCGGAAAAGGGGTGACGACGAGAGACAGAGAGAGAGAAGAGGAGAGGGGAGGAAAGGAGAGGAGGATATGTGTTACATATTTCTCCATCTATGCATGGATATGCATACGTACATGGGTTTATGTATATTATGATATACAGAGAGCGGGGGCAACACGAACAAGATAACGAAACAGGGTAAGAACGAGAGAGCAAGACAGAGCGATAGAGAGAGAGAGAAACATACAGAACGAGAAGGTGAGAGTGCGAGAGAGAGAGAGAGAGATGAAGAGAAAGAGAGAGAGAGAGAGAGAGCGAGAGAGAGCACGAAATAAAGATAGATAAAGAGAGAGAGAGAGGAACAGAGAGAGAGAGAGAGAGGGGAGGCGAGCGGGGGGGGAGTGAGGGATGGGGAGAGGAAGGGGAGGAAGAGACGCGGGGAGGGGCACGGGGGTAGGCGAGGCCGAGACGGGAGGTCGAGGGCGAACCGGGAGGGGCGTCGAGAGCAGCCGGGCGTCCGACTCTTCGGAAGCCCCGTGCAGAGAGGAGGGCGGAGGTGGAATCAGCACGAACGAAACGGGTACGGAGATGATGGGTACGATACCCCACAGTAGATCCTGTTCATTTTGAACCGGACTCGCTGTCCTCGCCGCCGCAGCCGTTGTCCATCTGAGACGGGAGGCTGCCTGCCCAACAGCAGCCGCTGTCGGTTTTGGACCAAATCTGTTGCTGGGCATCGTGCCCATGTTTTCCGTACCCATGTCGGGCGTCCAAAGATGAGAGCGGAGAGCCGCCGGCGAGGTTGATGGCGGCGCTGCGCGACACCCAGGTGGTCACGCGCGCGCGCCGTCGCAAATGGGGGAGGAGAAGGAGGGAGAAAGCAGAGTGAAAGAGAGAGAGAGAGAAGGGTGATGATGATGATGATGATGATGATGATGAGGAGGAGGAGGAGGAGGAGGAGGAGGAGGAGGAGGAGGAGGAGGAGGAGGAGGAGGAGGAGGAGGAGGAGGAGGAGGAGGAGGAGGAGGAGGAGGAGGAGGAGGAGGAGGAGGAGAGAGGAGGAGGAGGAGGAGGAGGAGGAGGAGGAGGAGGAGGCCGAAATGCCTTTGACTCAGGTGGAGGTGGTGCCGCACATGCCTTCACACGTATCAAGCCGACCTACGAGGAGGAGGTCTACGTACGCAAGGATGGCACTGTGACTGCTTCCTTAGATGGCATATTGGAGCAACAGATGGCACAGTGGCAACAGGCGTGGCAGGCGGGAACAGTGCAAGATCGTTTTGTAGAAGCCCGTGCTGTGATTCCGCCTCGCTGCTCGCCAGATTTACTTAAGAGGATTTCTAGACGATTTAAAACACACACTACTGCAGTTGACGGCATTCACCCAAAGCATTTCTCATTGCTTAGTGGCCAGTGTCTTTCTGCCCTCACTGGGACCTTCTCGATTATGAATATGATTTCGAATGCGCCCAGCAACTTGCAGCAGGTCATTATGCAGATGTTTCGCAAACCAGTGACAGGTAGACGACCCATTGGATTCTTCACTAGTACAGTGCGCCTACACGGAAAGATTTTGTCTTGGCAAGCTCGGGAATGGGAACGCGGAGCTGCTGACCATCCAGTATTCAGCATGGCGCCTGGACGCGGACCGCTAGACGCAGTCTGGAGACAGGCCACACGTGGAGAAGCCCTAGCGATAAATGGATATCACATATTATCAGTGCTGTGGGATTTGAAGCAGTTCTATGAGCACATGTCACATCACAGATTGTGGGAGATTGCCTTCGAGATCAGCTACCCCATCTCGGTCCTGCAGTACAGCCTCAACTCCTACAAGTGGCCGAGGAGAAGTGCGTTGGATGGGCTCATATCCCAACCACTATATCTCCGTCGCGGGATAATTGCGGGAACGGGCACAGCCACATACGAAGCGAAGATGTACGTTTTCCCTGCAGCCAACGAGTGGATCAACCAGACTACGGAGGAGGCCCTTCCAAATGTAGGTCTTGCCACGCTTACAGTCCATATGGGTGACCTTTGTATCAATGTTGCAGCCCGAGGATTCCATGATTGTGTGGATGGAATGTTCAATCGGGCATCTCACTTGGCACAACTTGTTAATGACCTGTTGGGGGTACCCCTCGCAGAAAAGAAACTATGCTTCACTGGGACGTCCAAGCCATTAATGGATGCATGCAGGGCGGCTTTAGGGCCCTTGGCTGGACAACCCGAGGTTGCGGTCAAGAATCTTGGCGTAGACTTCTCTCTCGGGCGACACCGACAACAAGCAGGTCATGGCAAAGTTCGGAGAAGACGGTTTGGATTGCTCAAGACACGTTTGCAAAAAAAACTGACCGCGATGGAAGGTTCTGGGAAACAAAAAGGTCTGATATTTCTGGCTGGGATCCAAGCATCAGCGACATATGGAGGAGAAGTTCTTGGCCATACCCCTGGAGAAATCAAGATTCTCAGACGTGCTGGTGCTAAGGCCCTTGGGTTTCTTGGTGGTGCACTCGACATTGGATGGGCCCTCCACGCTGACCAGGACCCTCTCAACAAGGCAGCCGATACACTCAAGCGATACGCTAAAGAATGGTGGCAGGCCTCTGGTGGCGACCTGCTACAAGGAGATGGCCTTACTGCGCGTGAACTGGTCAATGCATTCTCGGCCACTCAACAGCATTTATTGCAGTTGCCCCCTGGGGCTTCATGGCTCAGAAAGGCGTCTGGGCCATTATCAGATATGCGCCTGTGGATGCGAGAAGCAGGCTGGGAGGCACTCAATGCGAACATCTTCGTGGGGCTGAATGGAGAACATCATCATCTGACGTCGACGCCGCCTGCCCAGATTGCTAAAGCTTTTATTTCTGACCTAAGAAGCCAATTTCTTAAGCCAGCCCTCCTGCGTGCCCTTTCGGAGAATTCGAACCCGAGGGCCCTGGAGATCCGCGAGAGAGGGCTTTGGTCCCTGTGCCCGCGCAGGCTTTTGGCTAGCAAGAAGTTCCCTAAATAATATAAGCGCGTGCTTTTTACAAGTTTTCACGGGCGTGTACCCCACGGGGCTAACCCTACAGAGATGGGGGTACAATACCAATGGGTTGTGCCCACACTGCCACAAACCTGATTCGATCTTCCATCGTGCCTGGGAATGTCCCTGGCTGGAGGCTGAACGGGAAGGGCAGGATGAGGAGATTCGAACGATGGCGCTCCACCATGGGCCGACCGATCCCCTCTTTTCCTCGCTGTGGATGCCCTCCCCTCTTCTCCTTGCCAAGCCCATGGGGGAGCCCATCATCCACTTTTTCGGCCCAGACGGGCGTTGCGATGAGTTTAGGTTTTCTAGATCGGGTCGCTTTTACAGCGATGGGAGTTGTTATGATGGAGCCATTCCAGGGGTGGCAAGAGCTGGCTGGGCCGTGGTTGAAGTTTCGGAGTCGGGGCACCTTGTCCGTGGGATCTCTGGGCCCGTTCCCGACGGGGTGCCCCAATCAGCGTCCTCGGCTGAGCACCATGCTGCCTGCATGTTCGAGAGGTTTTTGGAGCCACCAGAGGACCCAGCCACCACATCCCCTCCCCTGATTGCAACCTCCCTGGCGACCGTACTTCACACAGACTGTCTTGCAGTGGTCTGGGGGGCCAGTAATCACGGGCAGGCGAAAAGACATACTGGCCCCCATGCAGGCTACTGGAGAATTTCAGGCAAGCCCACATATGTATGCGTCAAGGTCAAAGCTCATAGAGATGAAGCACTGGCTGTTGTCAGCCAGGACCTTTGCCATATTCGTGGGAATTGTTTAGCTGACCATGCAGCGAAAGAAGCTGCACGAAACAATAATATGAGCAAGGATGACTTTGAGAGTTTCACTGCTGCTCGCAAACTTCTGAAGCAGGTTGCCTTTAATATGCTCCAGATCCTTGTGCAATGGCCCCCACTCAAGGACCTCTATGGCGCCTTGGATCGGCCCTTGAGGGCCAGAGCCTTCCCCGTCCTCCCGCGGCCCCATGCCCCGTCTTGGGATGGCGCGAGGTGGAGGTGCTGCCAATGCCACAGGACTGGAGCCAGAGTGCTTGCGAATTCAAAGAGTTTCGTTTTTCCCCCGACCCTGCAGGAACTGGTGACACAGGCAGGCCAGTCGAGCTACCCGCACTCTTTGTGGTGTGCAGTCAATCGGAGGTCAGGGATTCCACTTTTGTTTTGCGGCCGATGTGGCCACATGGGGAGTGCCAGGGCCCGCCATCTGCGTGGGCCTTGCAGGCCCTCCCCCAGTTCCTTGAAAGATCTGAAGAAGCTTTGGAAAGGGGCCATCCCAGGGAGTTCAGGACAGACGACCTCTGAACCTTGGCCCCTCCATGCTGCTCCTCTTCCCAATTTTGTTCGCGCCCCCTCTTCCAGGTTGCTCCTTTCCCTCAAGGAAGGTACAGCGAGAACCTGACGCAGGCGGGCGCTCTCTCTTTCTCTTTCTTTTCCTGGTAGGGTCTCTGATCGACCAGGATTCATCATGGAACGATGGAACGAAGAGGAGGAGGAGGAGGAGGAGGAGGAGGAGGAGGAGGAGGAGGAGGGGGGGGAGGGGGGAGGAGGAGGAGGAGGAGGAGGAGGGAGGGAGGAGGAGAGGGAGGAGGAGGAGGAGGAGGAGGAGGAGGAGGAGAAGGAGGAGAGGGGAGGAGGAGGAGGAGGAGGAGGAGGAGGAGGAGGAGGAAGAGGAGGAGGAGGAGGAGGAGGAGGAGGAGGAGGAGGAGGGGGAGGAGGAGGAGGAGGAGGAGGAGAGAGGAGAAGAGGGAGGAGGAACCGAGGGAGGAAGAGGAGGAGGAGGCGGCGGAGGAGGAGGAGGAGGAGGTGGAGGGGCAGGACGACAGTCTGGCGCCCGCACATTACACAGACCCCCCCCCCATTGTTGGTGTTTTTTTCGGCCATGTCGCGTGTCATCACATCATCATGCGGATCATTAACATCTCCAGCACCCGCTCCCCACGGACCTCTGCGCGCAGACGCATACATTGCTCCCGAACGGGCTACATTACTTGTCATTGCCTGTTGGTCTGTCTTCTCACATCCTAAGTGGGATTATGTATTATTATTGCGAAGGCCTTACGACTGGTGCCGCGGACCCTGAAGACGACGAAGATGAAAACGAGCAGGGGGGGTAGAAGAAGGAAGAGGAGGAGGAGGAGGAGAAGGAGGCGGTGGAGGAGGAGGAGGAGGAGGAGGAGGAGGAGGAGGAGGAGGAGGAGTGGGGGGGGGAAGAGGAAGGGTGCAGGAGGATGAGGGAGGAGGAGAGGGGGGAAGGATGACCAGGTGCGCGACTCCAGAAGGAGGAGGAGAAGAGGGAGGTCCATCGCAACTACTATCCCTCCTCGATGGCACTCGTGGCTGCGAGCCGGCTGGCCCGCTCCGCGGCCAGCCGCTGCGCCTCGCGGCCAAGCTCCTCAGCCTGGCCGCGCGTGCGAAATCGGAATGCCAGTAAGGCATCGCTCAGTGCCACTCTTGGGCATGGCGCGCCCCACCGAACAGGGCCTAGCGGAGGCTCGGCGGTGCGGGCCACGGGGCCCCCTGCGGCGCCTTCCAATCCGGAATGGCTGGCCCAGTACGCCCGTACCGCCTCCGACGGGCTGCATGCCTCGTCGATGGACGCATCCCAGGCCCAGTGGGGGTGCATCCCACGGCCGACGCGGCTGCGTGCATTCTTTGCTCTCGGAGGTGGCTCGCCGCCCCTGGGCGGACAGGGCGCTAAGAGCCCATGGCCCCGACCAGGGCACGTGGCGTGACTCCAAGTCGTGCAAACTAGCATTGATGATGACGCGCCCCGGGGTCCACCCTCTGGGCATCGC